CTCTCTCTCTCTCTCTCTCTCTCTCTCTCTCTCTCTCACACACACACACACACACACACACACACACAGAGCTAGTTTCTGGTCGCCGATCGTTTAATCCTACGGTCTACGTCGCAGAATGGAGGCAAGAAAAAGACACAAGAAATCCAGCCAGGTGTTGGGTACCCCAAGTTGAGGGCCGCCCATCGTCATGACAGTCCACCACGTCACCACTTGCCTTGATTTTTTTAATTTTATTTTTTTTGCTTGCCTTAATTCTTCGATGTGGACCGTACATCCACACGATCGGCGGCCAGAAAATAGCTTCCATCACTTGCCTTTCTCAGGAGTCCGCCATATCCATCCCTTGCCAAAGTGAAGAAGAAGAAGAGGAAGTAAGAACAAAAGGAATGAGATAACAGCCTTACAGCCTTCCCTACACACCCGTAATAAACATACCTTCTGAGCGATATCGAGCGCGTCGACGTCTGCGACAGAGGGGGGGATTTCAAGCAAACATACAGCGATGGCTGCCGCCTCTGTCTCTGCTTCCCTGCAAAGGCTTTATATGCTGTCTACCCCATTACTTCAGTACATTCCTTCTGGGCTTTAATTTGGGGGATTGGGGGGGTTACAGGGGGGAGGGGCGTCGGGGTCAAGGGGGGTGTAAAGAGAAAGACCGTCTTTTTTTTCCCATTTTTTTTATTATTAAGGCTAATTCTTTAAGCCCAACCAGCCGCCGCTCAACCTACACCTACGTGGGCGGCCTTGTACGCAAGAGGTTTTTTTGTTTTGTTTTTCTTTTACGTAAGAGGTTTTGAACAGGGGGAGTTGTAAGTAAGAATATTTAACAAAAAAAAAAAAACAAAAAAAAAAAACAATTACCTGTCGAATCTGGACACCGCGGTATTTCAGGCCTTTTTTGTTGTCATTACAGTATTACGTGGAACCCCGTAGCAGCCACATCAAGCCTCCAAAAACGGTCTCTTTCGATCCCCCGAACACGCTGTTTCTTTTTTTATTTATTTATTTAATTTAATTTTGTTTCAATTATATTTTATATATATATATCGTCACAAAGTTTTCAGAGCGCCAAAGCGAAAAAAAAAAAAAAAAAAAAGGAAACAAGAAAGATATCAATTCTTTTTTTTTTTCTTACTTACAACTCCCCCTGTTCAAAACCTCTTGCGTTTAAAAAAAAAAAAAAAAAAAAAAAAAAAAATCTTGCGTACAAGGCCGCCCACGTAGGTGTAGGTTGAGCGGCGGCTGCCCCCACCCCCGTGTGTCATATCGACCCACTTGCACACAGCCAAAAGGCAAAGAGTATATATATTATCTGATGTTTCTTTCTTTTTCTTTCTTTTTCTTTCTTTTATACGAATGATTTTGCTCACCTCTTGAGTGTCAGATTGCGTCTTCAAGCGGCTTCACAGTCACCCCATACCTCACAGCTGATACGTGCATTCATGGTACGAAAGCGAGAACCTGGCCGCCTTTGAGGTAATATCCATGGCAAGAAATCGAGAATCTGGTCGCCTTTGTGGCAATCTCCATGGTAAGAAAACCAGACCCTGGACGCCTTTGCAGCATTCTCCATGGTACGAAATTGAGAATCTGGCCAAGAAATCGAGAATCTTGCCTTCGCGGCAATCCCCACCCTCTCTACTGAGAAACACAGAACCTGTCGCCCTCGTACCCTGCACGCATGCACGTCCTCCTGCTTCTCTCTCTCTCTCTATCTATCTATCTATCTATCTATCTATCTATCTGTTTGTGACGATATATATATATATATATATTTATTTATTTTTTGGCCTGCTTATATATTCACAAGACCCGCACACACGTTGCGCACACATGTTGCGTCCGCTTGCCTGCCCCTCTGCGCGGGTTATGCGATTTGTGCCTCCGCAGCCTCCGCAGTACATCGGCATTTTCCTGCAATTCCAACTTCCGAGCGCAACAAGGTCCTCGCTCCACTACTCTCAAAACCCGCAAAACGAGAGTGAATCTTCCCCCAGAACATTAGAATGATACATTGAGTATCGAGAGACTTAAAGAGATAACCAGGACACTCGGTTGAAGTATCCGCAGGAGGAGACAAGAGGGACGTGGGGGAACAGAGAGTGTCCAGGAGCAGGAGGACCGTAGGGTCCACTCTGCCGACAATAGGCAGAGAATTGGAGGGGAATTACCGTAGTTAGGGCGTCGCCACACCACTGTCGAAACGAAAAACGCAGTAGTGCATCTTCCCGAAAAAGTGGCCAGATGCGTCTGTTGCTATTCCTGGGAACGGACGCATCTTGCCACTTTCTGTGGGAACATGCATTTGAACGTTTTTCGTTTCGACAGTGGTGTGGCGAGGCCCTTAGACTGCTAGGCTAGGAGGACAATGATTGGATGTCTGCCTTTTTTGTAATTTGGTTTGGTGTGTTTTCTTTTTCCCGGCTGGGAAACCATGCCAGGGTGATACTGTGTGTTGAAATTTTGAGCCTGTTTTATTTTTTTTGTTCCTAGGCAGAGTAGGCCTGCCAAGGCTTGGTTTGAATGCTGGCCTTTTGAGTACGTTTATTGTGGTTGCTTTCACAGCCTGGGTCACCGGGCTGTCCTTTATTTCTGTTTTTAGTTGGCTCTTCCTAGTGTCGTTGGGGTGAAACACAACCTATCCTGGGTAATGGTCATGATAATGGACTCCTGGAAAAAAGTACGACTGAAGACGGGGGCGGCGGTCTGTTTGCGTTAACGCTGCGCTAATCTTGCGCTCCCGATGCCGGTTTGCGTTAACGCTGCGCTAATCATGCGCGGCCCATCGGGAGCGCCGATGGGAATCGGGTCAGAAGGCACAGTGTTGAACCATACCGTCGACGGGCGGCCGTCTTCCTCGGTATTCCCAAGGAAGAAAGCCACGGTGGATCTAGTCACACATTAGGTGTCTGATGTGAGTGCCCACCGCGGAATATCTGGGGCCTGACTGGAACTGCGAGCCGCAAGGTGCCGAGAGCGGTTAGTTGTGGTCAGTGGAGGTTGGCGAACTAGCGGGAACAACACAGCAGGAGCAGGCCGGACTGCGACTCTCGCATCCAGAGGGCTTGCGTCATGACAGACTGGGAGGCTCCGGACGTGACAAACCGAGCAGCGGACAAAGACCTTCTTCAAGCCCTAGGGGTTATGGTAGAATTTGGGCAGGGGAACGTTTTCCAACCATTTTATTGAAGCCTCAGTCAAGTCTTTATCTATTCTAACTTATAAGCTACGCTAGGTAGTAGGAAGTGAACCCTATATAGTTGTAGTCGATAATGGTATGATTATAACATCGCCAGGACAGCACGACAACATGGAACCTTCCGCAGCTGGTCTGTCAAACTCCTCGCCGAGTATCTCGGCAGAGGAAAAGGAACGGATCAGGGAGATCCTGTCGAAATGCTACTCTGACAGTGTCCTTCCGAAAAAACTGGCGCCTAATATTGTCAAAGTGGGGGACGACTTTGTGAAGGTAACGATAAATCCAGAGGTATACCAGGTCCAGGCTGAATGGCTGCGTGAGCATGCTGTGTCTGTTTTCTTTGGGAATGACTCCACATCCCTACCAATTGACGTTAAGAAACGGCTGGTTCGTTTGTACGAAAAGGGATGGGCTACAGGAGACGAGGTCACGGCCCCTCCTGAGAGAGGGTTGTTTCACAACGAAGGAAGGAACCTTGTTACATATGGAGCAACGGCCAAAGAAATAGCCACATACATGCTTCGCGCAGGACAAGTCAGCCTTGCCTTAGACAACAAGCAATACACAGTCTCCTTTCGGCCACGGATGACCGAGCAGGAGCTCTGGGAGTGGCGGGAAGTCTCGAGGCATAAGTTTTTATGGATTAGATGCCAACAGGKTCCCCTCGCTGCCCTAGCCCCATTATACGGCGCCGTGGAAGATGCATTTGGAAAAGTCGTCAGGGAATTTCCAGCATATGAGGATCAAACATCCCCTGATTTAGTTAACATTCGCTTTGATCTCGAATCAGTAGCAAGGCTTATAAACGCTACTTAGTGGTGGATTTGGGAAGAGACAGATATGTTGAAATAGAAGTGGTATGTGCCTCCACACCCTCGTGTCCTAGGTGCAGGCAACATTTCCATTCCGAGGAGGATCCTGACTGCCCAAGCAGGAAAAAACCCTCCTATGCAGATAAGGTGAAGGACAAAGGTCCAGCTGCGAAACCTGCTTCTGTTAACGACAGGAAGACAGAGAAGACAGGGAAATCAAAGCGAAAGAAACAGCAGGACCCTCGAAAATCCCCACACCCAGACCCAAAAGGGGGAAAAGAGAAAGGCCAACTTTGGAACGATTCCGAGGGAAAGGACCGCCCCCCCCGGCCCGATGAGGAAGACATAATGGAGAAGGATTCACCCCCTCCAGGGCTCGAAAAGTGCCTCCCCGAATCGGAACAAGACCGTGATATGGAGGTGGACAAGGAGGACGGAGAGGGCACTGGAAATGGTGAAGGGGGAGGAGGAAAAGGGAAAGAGGAACTAAGGGACTACATAGAAGATCAGATGGACAAGAACATCCGGACGAGTCGAGAAAAAAAGAAAAGGGAAGAGTAGGAGGAAAGATCGGATGAATCGGATGAATCGGATGCAAAAGTTTCACCGGATGGGGGAAAGAAAGACGAAGTAGATGAGGAGGACGACGAGGAGAATGGGAGTGAGGAAGGAGAGGCAAGCCGGTTACAGAGAAGGGGCCTCCAGTGGGAGGACTCCTCTCTGAGAGAAGAGTGTGAAGGGGAGGAGGAAGAGGGAACCAAAATCGGTCGTATGGCCCTGGCTGGTATCCCAACCTCCTCTACAGTGTATGATAACGTCACTGAACGGAAACTCCGGCCAAGAGACACGGGGAACCCTCCAACCCTGGTAAGGACATCTCCTCTCCAGAAGATGATTTCACGGACTGCCGTGAAATCATCACCAGCTCGGACAAAGAGGAAGGTACGGAACCAACATCCTCTGCTGACAGGAGAGATAAAGGCTCACTCGCTCCAAATGAAACCCATGCTGCCGGTTGTGAATTGAACCCCCCTAAGCAGTCGCGGAGGAGAAAGGAACATACCAATCGAACGGTCAAACAATTAACGGCGGCTCCGCCAATGCAAACGATCTTAAGATCAGACAAGGCAAAGGTAGCTTCAAAGGAGCTTAACGTACCACTTATCAGCACCATGTCACCCCATGGCCCGATGGTGTTGACAAAATTAGATCAAAATGAATCTCAGTTTTTACCTGCAATTGTGTCAAATGGGTTTTTGACTGATACAAGATTGATGCGGGAAATTACTGGCAGATTGTTGCAGCAGTACTATCCTCCCAGAACCAAAAAGGGGTCGTATGCTTGTCAATGCCCCATGGGGAGGGAAGATGGTACTGCATGTGTCCTTCGTCATCCTCAAAGGTGAGGCTGGTGCCATTTAGAGCCTTAAAAAGCAGCAGATCCACTGGATGCTGACTCATTTCCTGGATGTGGGACTGGATGTGCTAAAAAAATTGAAATAAATGGGGAAGTGACCGCTCATGTAATAGCGGAATGAATTTCTCAATCCAACTTAATTGATACTCTGATGTTTGTACCCTTTAAAGAGTCTCTTGCAGCGGATCCCCGTCCCCCCCTTGCAATGGCAGGTAAGGAAGAGGAGGGGGGGAAGAAGCACAAGGACCCCCTGAAGGAAAGGACACTGAAACAAGGCCGCATCCAAAAACCACGCGGGAAGGACCCTTCTAATGGTCCTACCGGCAAGGTTTAGATTTGCATCATGGAATGTTCGAGGCCTAGGTGATTCAAACGAAAAAAGTAAGAAAGCTAGACTGAGACAATGAATTCATTCCAATAACGTTGAATTCATCTGCCTGCAAGAAACAAAATTAAATGAGGACAAATTAAAGGACAACCAGGAGTGGTGGGCAGGCCCACAGGTGTGGGCCCCAGCCCAGGGTTCGAAGGGTGGGATAGCGATTCTAGTGGATGAAAATATAGAACAGGAAGAATTGGATAGATATGTAGACCCAAATGAAAGACTAGCTTGGATTAAGTTCGCAATCGGCAAGGAAGACTAGGCAATAATGACGGTGTATGCACCAGTCCATTACCAGGATAAAATCGATTTTCTGGCTGATTTACCAGCATACCTGCCTGATATAGGAATACAATATTCAATCCAGGACTTGATTCCCTCAAAATAAAGCCGTTGAGAACAGATTTACTAATTTTATCCCAACTAATACAAGCTCAATTGTTCGCGGATATTGTCAGGATCTTTAATCCGGAGGATAATGGCTTTACCTGGTACGACCCTAAACCAACAAAAACTACTCCGGCTCCCCGTAAACGTTTAGACTTCTTTCTCGTCTGGGGTGCCTTGTGGGACAGAGCAACATGGTGTGATGTGAGAACCGGTGCCCTGTCATACCATCAACCGGTCCTAATGGAAGCAATGGCGAAGGACATAGTGGAAAGACATCGCTCCCCTTTCAGACTTAATGTGCATGTCTTAAAGGACGAGGGAGTGAAAAATTGGGTAACCAGTCAAATGCAGACATGGCATAATGCCAAGGACCTGT